GGTGGCTGCACATGATCTGCCCTGTGTGTGTGTCTGTGTCCCGATGGCCTCTTCTTATGGGGACATGGGCAGATTGGACTCAGGCCCACCCACGTGGCCTCATGTTAGCCTTGTCACCTCTTTAAAGGCCCTATCTCTAAACACAGGGACATGCCGAATGTGAATTTGGGGTGACACAATTCAGCCCACAGCAGGGGGTTAGCTGGGTGGAGGAAATTTAGGTAGGAGGCTCCAGAAGGCCCCAGTAAGAGGACAATTAGTTAGCAGATCTGAAAGAGGGAGAGAACCAGCCATGGGGATATGCAGGGGTGCGGCATTCCAAGGGTGAAGGCCTGAGAGGGGGCGCCTGGCGCCTATGAGGAGGAATGGGGAGAGCCAGGTTATGTGTGTTGGCTGAACAAAACAGAGCCCGAGCAGGTGGCCCGGGAGGGATCACAGCGTCCTGGGTCCCGGGCCAACAGGTGCTTGTGGGAGCGTGGCCGCTGCTGGGGACCAGGCTCACGCTCGTGGGCCAGGAGGAGCAGGGGTGAGGCGGCAGAGGGGGCAGCTCCCCGGGCTGGGGTGGCGTGCCTGGCCCAAGGTGGCACCGCCTCGGGGACAGAGCCTGGGACACGGCCTGCACTCTCTGGAGGTCCCGAGGGCCCAGTGGGGCCTGTGGGGCAGCTCAGCTTCATTCTCCCTTCCTTGGCCCAGGCCTCAGAGCCCCCCAGGACGCCTCCAGGTCGCACATCCCCAGCTCAGAGTCCGTGTCCCGGAGAACCAGGCCTGAATTGATGGGGAGGCCGACAGTGGTCAGACCCTGGCCATATTTCTAAGACATTGCTCACAGAGACGCCTTCTCCTCCTTGGGCAAAGAACTACGCCACAGCAAATGTTCTAGGCCTTTCCCGCTTTCCTCAGTTCCTGTTCCCACTCCCTTTTTTTGCTTATTGGGGGGTTCAGCCTGGGCCAGGCCTCCTACCCTCCTTCTTGACCCCGCCCTCACGCCATCCTATCTCCCCCTCCGAAGTGCCCACCCTGCCACCTGTGCTGGGGGCCTTTCTTCTCCTCTCTAGAGGGGACACACCCTTTCCACCAGGGTCTTTGCTGCCCACCCCCCCTGACATGTGCTTATCTTAGAAAGCCTCTACTGTCCCCTCTGCCTGCATCACATCTGTGTTTCCCGCAGCTGGGCTTCTAGAACTAGCAGACTACCCTCACTGCCTGCATTTCTTCCTTAATTATTTCCAAGCCGACTTTTTGCCCCACCCCCTAACAAAACTAACCACTCAAAGGTCACCAAACCCAGGTTTTCTTTTTTTTTTTTTAATTTTTTTTTTTTTTTATTTATGATAGTCACAGAGAGAGAGAGAGGAGAGGCAGAGACACAGGCAGAGGGAGAAGCAGGCTCCATGCACCAGGAGCCCGATGTGGGATTCGATCCCGGGTCTCCAGGATCGCGCCCTGGGCCAAAGGCAGGCGCCAAACCGCCGCGCCACCCAGCAAACCCAGGTTTTCTACTGAGTCCTCATTCTTGAATTTTTTTTTATTTTGTTTTAATTTTAAGAAGGCTCCTAGTGGGGCTTGTCTAATGGGTCTAGTGGGGCTTGAACTAATGACCTCGAGATCAAGAGTTAGATGCTTCAGGGCGCCTGGGAGGCTCAGTTCATTAAGTGTCTGCCTTGGGCTCAGGTCATGACCTCGGGGTTCTGGGATCACCCCATGTTGGGCTCCCTACTCAGCAGGGCATCTGCTTCTCTCCCTCTGATACCTCCCCCCACCCTGTGCTTGCACACTTGCACTCTCTCTCAAATAAATAAATAAATAATTTTTTTTTAAAAAAAGTCAGATGCTAAACCAAATGAGCTACCCAGATGCTCCTGAATTCCCATTCATACAAACCCTTCTGTTTTTTTTTTTTTTTTTTTTTTTCAAACCACTGACCACTCCCTGCTTCCCAGGGCTTCTCTAATCTCTCAGGCTACTTCTTTCTGGTCTTTTCTCCTGCCCCTGCCAGGCTCAGACACCCTGTCTCCACTCGGCTGCAGACACAGCCTCCTCGCAGCCTCCACTGTTCATTTCTGGAATTTTCCATCGGGCGACCCTCCTGGTCATAAACTCAGCTCAACTCCAATTACACCCCACCCAGCCCGCTCCCCTAGTTCTCCTATCTCTCAATGGTGCCCCTCTGTCCCCTCCTCTAACCACTGGGCTCCTTTCTGACTCCTTTTCACTTCTCATGCAATCAGGCACCAGACTCAGCCTTTCATGTCTTTCAAAGCTCTTCCCCCCTCTGCTTTGATAGCCGGCTGGGTTCCAGGTTCCCCAGGTCCTGCCTGCCTCGGGAAGCACAGCCTGGATGAATTTCCTGCGGTGGACTACTCCATTCCGGAGGCTGTCAGAGGTGGCTTTTCATTCCTTGCTCACCTCCTCCCCTTCCAATCATGGGCCTTCCAGGTGCGCTAGATCTCAGGAGCAGAGTATGCCTAGACTCTCCCCACTCAGATGGGTCCCCTTGTCTTTCCAGGTTAGGTAGCAGAGCAGAGCTTTTCTCTTGAATGTCTCAAGCTCTGTTATGTCTTCCGTCTGCAAGATATAGCAGTGCCCAGGTGACCCGTGGCTCATCAAGGCAGTGTGCACGGAAGGCTGCACTTCATCCACCACCCATGTTGAACGTTCACTCTAAACCAGAGAGCAGTGACCTGAAAACCCAGCGGCTCTTGGCTCATTCAGCCACTTGTCGGAGATAGGGGAGCAGCTACATTAGTTCACTGAGTCAGAAATGCACACCATACCGTTGCTGAAATCAGGGCATAGCCAACACAGTTTAGCGGGCAGCATTTTTTTCTTTCTCAGTGGTACATAAAATAGTGGTTCATCTTCCAGTTGATTGCATCTTAGATTCTATAAGCTGTAAAGCTCAACTGCTGGTCTTCACTGCAGGTACATTTCTACAATATGAGCAGCATATCACTATGTGGAGCTTCAAATTATGTGATGCTAGAGAAGGCACAAAGGGGGAGAGAGTTAACATTTAAAAAGACTAGATGCTTCCTGAGATCTTATCCCTAATTTGTGAAACGGAGCTAAGAGAAAAGAAATATAAAAACCCGGGCACCTGGGTGGCCCAGTTGTTAAGCCCTTTGGCCCAGGGCATGATCCCGGAGTTATGGGATCAAGTCCCACATCGGCCTCCCTGCAGGGAGCCTGCTTCTCCCTCTGCCTATGTCTCTGCCTCTGTGTGTGTGTGTGTCTCTCATGAATAAATAAATAAAATCTTTAAAAAAAGAGAGAGAGAGAGAAAGAAATGTAAAAACCATTTTCAAGCAACATATGAGCAAGTGAGAGCTGAAATGTACATCTGTGAATCTGAGTACACATAATAAACGCTATTTTCTGGGACCTCATCATTCCACGTGGCTTCCATGAAGAAGTGAGCTTCAAGTTGCAAAGGAAAGGAAAAGTGGGTCAAAGGCTCCGTCGTGTCATGTCATGGGTGCACTGTCCTCATGAGGGTAATATCTCCATTTCACAGAGGAAGAAACTGGACAGCTTGTGAGCGTCATACCTGGGATATCCACCACTTCCTAACTGAATTTGTGAGCAGTAGGACAGAAGGCTGAGGAATGATTTGAATCTCTGCCAGTTATTTACATTACTTTACTCCCCAAATCATCACCTGGGAGGTTGTCCACAGAGGATTGAATATCTGGTCATTCTTGAATGTCTGCAAGGGAACCACAGAGTCCTGCTTGGCATGGGAGGCTCTGCTCCTTCTGGAATGTGCCCCAGAGACAAAGAGCCTGACCCACAGTCTTCTCAACATGGGGTGAGAGGAGCCGGGTTGGTTTGGGAGCCTGATGGAAACGCCCTGATGGAGCTCTCTGGGGCTGTCCATACATAACTGTTGGAGGAGAAGGAAACGAAGCCTCCAAACCCACCCAAGGAGCTAACCTGGGCAAGCCCTCTCCCTTCTCCCCACCCCTGCAGATGAGACCTGGCATCTGGCTAGAACCTAGTGCCAAGAGGGGCCCTGCCTGGCTTGACCTAGCTGCGAGGTCATCCTGTATGGGCAGCATACTCCTATGCGCGATGCAGGGATGTGTGCTGGGGCCCATAGGGCTGATTGCAGGGTCTGCCCTGAAGCCAAGGACAAACCCCACAGACTGGGGGAGGGACTGCAAGGTGGAGGCCGAAAGGCAGCTGCAGGGAGAGGGAGGAGACCCCTGGCTCTGCACCGACCCACACCTGGGCTTCCCTGCCTGTTACTTCCTTCGCTTTCAGCCCTGACCTCTGACTCAGCGCCCATCCGGTAAGCGTGAGCGGGTGGGACAGGTACAGCCACCATCTGCCAGGTGAGGAGTCAAGGTCACATAAGGGGCACGCCTAGGGGTCGTGGTCTCAGTTCTCTCCGAGACAACGCGCCTTTGATCCCCGCCCCCACCGCCCCCAGTTCTCCCGAGTGTGGAGCCCAGTAGCCTCCCGTATAGGAAGCTAGTAAAAGGCAACATTTACGGCACACTGCGCTCGCCGCCGGGCGCTCGCGGAGCCCCTCCGGCGAGGTGACCCCGCGTCCCCCGCAGGGCAGCGGAGGCTCACAGCCCGGCAGCCGGCCCGGGGCGGCGCAGCGCGGGCGCTGGAGCGGGGCCGGGCCGGGAGCGCAGGCGGCCGCCCCGCAGCGCCGCGCCCGGGCTGCCCGAGTAAGGCGGCGGCGCCCTGCGCCCCGGAACGCGCGGGATCCTCCCCCCGCACTTGCCCTGGGCCCCGGGAGCCGAGCGGAGGGGAGGGGAGGGGAGGGGAGGGGAGCCCCGGGGGCGCGGGGGCCGACGCCAGGCCCGCCCGGCCGCTGGGGGGAGCGCGGGGCGCGGAGGCGGCGGCGCACCCTCACCTGCCCCGGCGGCGCGGCGCGGCGGGGCGGGGCGGGGCCGCGGGCGGGGGCGGGGCCTCGCGGCGGGGGCGGGGCGGGCGGGGCGGGGCCTCGCGGCGGGGGCGGGGCCTCGCGGCGCCGGGAGCCCGGCGCAAAGTGAAAGTCCGGGCCGGCGCCTGCGGGAGCGCGGGACGGAGGCGGGACGGAGGCGGCTGCGCGCCCCGGCGCCCATGGCGCTGAGCAAAGGGCTGCGGCTGCTCGGGCGGCTGGACGGCCCGGGGCCCGGCAGCGTCCTGCTGGAGGCGCGCGGCCGCGGGGAATGCCTGCTCTTCGAGGCCGGCACGGTGGCCACGCTCGGTGAGTGCGACCCGGCGCGGGGCGGGGCGGGGCGGGGCGGGGCGGGGGCGCCTCCCTTCCCCGCGGTGAGCGGCGCGCGGGGCGGCGGGTCCCGGGAGGTGAGGCCGGGCCGCGGGAGCGCCTGTCCCGCCCGCACCGCCTGCTGTGTGCGTTCCCGGCCGCCGGGACGCCCTACGGGGCCACCGGGATCCCAGGGGATCGGCTTAGGAGCCGCCCGGCCCCGAGCCTGGCGCTCGTTTTCTGTGGCACCTGTTGATGAAGCCAGTGGTCGCCCGTCGCTTTGTGTTGGGCAGCTTCTCTCCCGGGAGGGATGGGCTGCACCAGCCCGGGAACAGAGGCCCCGGCGAGGCCTCATGTACACACTTGCTGAGAAGCATCAGTCCTGCACTTTGCAGATTGCCCTGCCTGGTGACTCTACCTCTGCGCTGCCTGTATTTGAAGTTAGATGCCAAGCCAGTTTATTTCACGTCTGTGCTACAGGAAGTCTTGAGACTGGCCTCGAGCCAGGGACTTGAGCGATGATCTCATTTAACTTTCACGGTTCTGCAAGAGTTCCTCTTGTCCTCATATTATAGATGAGTGAACTGAGGCCTTGAAGAGGCTATGAAACTGGCTTGCCCCAAGGTGACACATCGCTACCTGAATCCTCTGTGGCTGTTTTTAAAGATGTATTTATTTGAGAGAGACAGAGAGAGGAGGGGCAGAGAGAGGGAGAGAGAGAGAGAGAGAGAATCTCAAGGACACTCCCCGATGAGGGTGAGCCCAGGTAGCGGTGCTTGATCTCACATCCTAAGATCATGACCTGAGCTGAAACCAAGAGCCAGGCGCTTAACTGACCATGTGGCTGGTTTTATAATGTCATAAAATGCATGGCTTTCTGGTATCTCCAACCACCCCATCCCTTGTTTTGTGGCTAATTTCATGGGGAAAGCCGAAGTGAGCAAAATCAAATAGGATTGTTAGAACTTTAAATTTGAATCCTGGAGGGTAGGCTTCCAGCTGGTGTCCAGCTGTACCACCTACTTTGCTCGTCCTAAACAAATAATTCAAGGAAGGTCACTGTCCGTAGGTTCTGGATGACCCATGTACTCATTCCCACAACACTTTATAAATGTCTCTGGTCTCCCCACCCCTCTGCATCTTTATGCATGGATTCTTCAGCTGGGATATACATCTTGGAAGAATCATCTCTTCTATTTCAATTTCCCTAATCATTTCATTCCCACAGAGTTATCAGGCTTGTTTTCCGTTGCTTGGTTACAGAAACAAGGTCTCCAATATTGTCAGTACCATAGTGTGCATTCAGTCGTTGATTAAATTATTATCAGATTATTCCAGTTTGTGCTCTGTACCAAAAAATCCAAGTTTGGTCATTTGCTAAGGTCTTGAAAGAAAACCACAGAGGTTTCCATTCCATTTTAGATGTCTACTTCATACCACATTTATCAGAGCCGAGAGATTCATTCCGTGGCACAAAAATACTACTTCATCAAAGAGATTGAAACGTCCATCACTTGGAGTAGAGGAATGTTAAGGAAGGTTCAGGCACATGTAAGAGTCCCTTAGAAACCGCTTGAAGAAGAAGTCTTTATTTATTTATTTTTTAAAATATTTATTTATTTATGATAGTCACACACACAGAGAGAGAGAGGCAGAGACACAGGCAGAGGGAGAAGCAGGCTCCATGCACCGGGAGCCCGACGTGGGATTCAATCCCGGGTCTCCAGGATCGCGCCCTGGGCCAAAGGCAGGCGCCAAACCGCTGCGCCACCCAGGGATCCCAGAAGTCTTTATTTTTTTCAGAAGTGAAGACTTTGAAATGATTAATGAAAATAATATAATGCCAACTTTCCATTTGGAAACTAAGTTTGGGCTGTGATGCGTGTATATTACTTTGGTGATTACAGTACACTGGATGCTAACACAGAGGTGGTCATGAAAGGAATTGGCACATTTCAGCTCATGTGCGGCCCACATTTGTCACTTAATGGAGCATTCATTTTTCAATAGAACTTGGGCTGAATACTTAGGTTTTTTTTTTTAAAGATTTTATTTATTTATTCATGAGAGACACAGAGAGAGAGGCAGAGACATAGGCAGAGAGAGAAGCGGGCTCCCTGCAGAGAGCCGGATGCGGGACTTGATCCCGGGATCCCAGGATCAAGCCCTGGGCAGAAGGCAGGCACTAAACCGCTGAGCCATCCAGGGATCCCCTGAATACTTAATTTTTAAAGTCGGTTTTTCTTAAGTTAAGTGAAACTATTTTTAAAAGGCAGCTGTAGCACTTGGTGATATTACTGGTCCAAGGAGGATTATAAAAGCTTCCTGTGACTAGAAGGTTGTCGTTTCAGACTTCTCAAGTATCCAAAACATGCCACAATTTGATAAAATAGTTCTGAACTGAAATTCCCATCTGTGTTTCAGAGGGCTAGCATTTTGGCTTTCCCTTCCTTGACGAGGAAAAGCATACTTTCATATTTTCCCCAGAAGGTTTCAAGGTCAACTTTTGCCTGGGACAGTGCATCTGGGGGAGCTGGCGTTGGAATCCTGACTGTTCACTCTTTCCATGAAGTTCAAGGTTGGGGGCAGCTTCCTCTCACTGGAGCTGTGGTTTCCTGTGATGGGTCACCCCGGGGAGGAGGGAGAGGCCAGGGAGACTTAAGTGGACGGTTTATTACTGTGTGGGTGGTGGTTTCTCCGCAGCCAGTGAGGATAACTCAGTTCTGTCCTGCTGAGCGGTAGATGCACGCTGCTGCTTCTCTGGGGAGCGGCAGGGAGAGCCAGGGGGGCCCGCAGCCGGCTGGAAGCACCGCTGGTCGCTGGTCGAGGCCCACTTTACCCCATTAGGACCCATATTTGAAAAGGCCTCTCGCCACGGGGAGATAGGGACTCACAATTGCTTCAGTGTTTTCGGGCAGTGGTCAGAGATAGGAGCTCGAATGGGGCCGTGAGTTTAGGAAAAGCTGAGGACCCTCTGTTGGCCTGTGGCTGGGCGCCGTCCTTCTGTTCCTTCCACGGTGACCCTGCCGCAGTCTTCCACGTCGGGCCTGCTAGCGGGCAGCTTGCGGAGGGAATACTTCTGAGCTCCTGCCTCTCAAAGAATTAGGTTGAGAGTCTATCTTCAGTGTCCATCAGCGGGAGCAGGAATTTGGAAGCAGAAAACTCAAACAGGTTGGCACCAATCACAAAAGTTTGGATTATGTTCTTGCGGTGACCTGATTCACAGTAGGACGCTTCTCGGGTACAGGTGAAACGCCGTAGCACGTGGTCCGCAGTCCACAGCTAGGGTGCAGGTGTGCTCTTCTCTGCACATCTGGGCAAAAAGTACTTGTCTTTCCCTGTTGTCTTGTGTAGACGTAGTATGGACACCCAGTGGAGGCGAGCGTGCTGATTGTCCGGGTATTCCATTTTCGGGACGAACTGGGATACTCCAAAGTTCAGTGTTCTCCAAACAGCCCCCAGGGAGGGTGGCCCGTGAGTGCCCCCATGTTTGCACAAGCGTTTTTGAGCGAGAGCAACCCTGCCTGCCCCCACCCCCCACCCCATGCTTGCTGGTGAACAGGGAGCAGGGGCGGTGGGGGTGGAGGTGGGAAGGCCTGGGAGACTTAATTAAGTTAATTAGTGAGTGTCCTTCAATTACATTGAGCTTCTGGGGGGAAAGTTTCTGTGTAAACACCAGCCCTGGGTTTTCCCAGCTGCTGTGTTTAGATAGAGGCCACGATATCCTGCTTCATTTGAATTGGTGAAATGGCCACGGAGCCAGGAAAGGCTTCTGCTGAACTATTGCCTTGCTCACTCTCCCTGGCCTTGTGGCCTAGGACTATTTGGTCAGCGCCTTAAAGTTTGACCTGCTTAAGAGCACCCGAGAGAATCAGTGAGTGGCCATGTGCCATGTTATCAGCTCTCCTGGGTGAAGACTGCAGGACAGGTAGGGCCAGGTGAGGGTTCAGGGCGCCTGACTTGGGATACTTGGGCAGCCCCCACATGTTGGCCTCCACAGCTCGTGCCCGGGTCCTTCTTCCTACTTCTAGGTGTGCTCAGCATATTTACAAAAACACAAACTGGGTTAGCGTGTACTTCTACCTGTCATTTGTGTAACTTGCCAGTGGGAATGTGATTTCGTATCTTGCCAGGCTCCCTTTTGGGGCCATGTGGCTCGAAAACTTTTTCCTTAACCTTTGTGAACATTTTCAAAGGTACAAAAGTAGAAGGAAAAATGAATCCTCTGTATCTGTCACTCAGCATTTATATCTGTCAATGTATTTCAATTCTGTGCCACTTGTCCCTGTATTTTTTTTGCAAAAAATGAATCTCCTAAAATTTAGTTGGTTCAGTGCAAGCAAGATTTTAATCTATTTGGCCTGGCTTCCTCCCTCATCCCCCCGACTTGCATTTGTGTGTATGTGTAGAAGTTCAAAGTTTACTTGACGGATTGAGATGGGACCAACAAACAGAGATGGTGGTGTGAATTGATTTTGAGATTCTGGCCAAGATACTTTTTTTTTTTTTTTTAAAGATTTACTTACTTATTTTTGAGGAGGGCAGGGGCAGAGGGAGAGAAGCAGGTTCCCCCGCTGAGCACAGAGCCTGATCCCACAATCCTGAGATCATGACCTGCGTGGAAACCAAGAGTTGCCACTTGACCAACTGTGCCATGCAGGTGCCCCCTCAGGCCAGGATACATTTTTAAAAACAAAGTGATCACAGGGAAGAGTAAACCATCAGCTGGAAGAGCAGGATGTCTCCATCTTGGGATGGCAGTGATGGGTTCACAAGGAGACAGTCTGAGCCCTTTGGTGGCACTGCCCCTAGACCATGGCAAGAGCGCGGCTTGCCCTGTGCCCCTCGCTGAAATGAGGAGTCAGGCCAAGGGGCCATGTTCTCCCACCATTTGCACTCCCTCTCTGGACCCTGCCCCGGGTACAGATGACCCTGGAATCTTCCACCCAAGTGATGTCCAGACTGCTTCCATCCTGCTCCTGTCTCTTCCCAGGGTCTGT